TTGCTAAAAGCGGCGTAAAACCATACTCGCTCACTCATTTTTTTCAAAATTGTAGCTTGTATTTGTCATTGCTGCTGGTTTACGAATTCTCTTTTTGTCAATTACTCCTACACTGATCCAGTAAACCAGTTTGTGTTGAACGTGACCGTCAGAGTCGTGCCCATGTCATTCCCAGCTGTTTCAGGGACGTGGTACGTGGTTTTCCGGAACCGTAGAGAATGTGTGAACGTGATTTACAGTATATGAGCGCTGTGTGAAACAAATGCGTTACGCCTGTAAACCAATATGTATATATATAATAGACGGCTTTCTCCAGTTGAAGTTCCGGCTCATACTCGGGGCAGACGATTGTTTAACCGTGAGTAATACGTGTATCATTTTATCAGTTTGTTTTGCTCGTTGTCTAACGCTACACTAGGCAATATTCCAGCTACGTGACGGCGGTCTGTAAATAATCGAGTTTGGCCCAGACAATACAGTGACTCTTGATATCAATCTATGCAATTGGGATACAATAACATGCATCAACCAAGTCAGCGAGCCTGACCACCGATCCCGTTAGTCGCCTCTTAAGACAAGCATTTGATTTGCCCGTAAATCAGTACTAATGAAAGACGAGTCGGCTCCCTTCTGATTATATTCTAAAAGATGTTTTGTCATTACTATATGTTTGTATATTGTGTGACTGTATACCATTCTATGGACAGGATTCTAGTGTTAATCGGCAATTATAAAACTATCTGTTCATCCCTAGAGTACCATGTGTTGTACAACTACAATATATATTTAATTCATTATCGGTTGTGTACCATTTATATCCTTGTGATGATTGTGTGTGCGTGTCAGGGAGCCTGAATCCCAGATTCCGGCACTGGCCTCTTACGACAAGCATGGGATGCGGAAGATCAAATCTAACCCGGAAAAAAGCTCCCAATGTCAACAAAATGCCCCAACAGCGTGGGCCTCCAATAGCCCCCGACAGCCAAGTCCGACTCCTGGCCTTCATGTGGCAAAGGGGGCGGTCGGGTAGCCTAGTGGGTAAAGTGTTCGCTCGTTACGCCGAAGACCCGGGTTCGACTCCCGACATGGGTACAATGTGTGAAGCCCATTTCTGGTACCCCGCCGTGATATTGCTGGAATATTGCTAAAAGCGGCGTAAAACCATACTCACTCACTCATGCGGCAAAAGTGTTCTCTCTAACAGGAGACGGTTCGAAAGGTGCTATCTGTCGCCTTAAAACTGGACGCCTCGGACAGAGGTGGCTCGTCAGCCTTGGTTGGCTGCTCTTCTAGAAGAAAAACTCTCATTCCAAACATCCGCTGCCTTCTAAGCTCCCACAACAAATCCCGGGTCGGTGTCCTTCAGGCAGTTGTCTTCAACACCCTTCCGTCAGTTCCTGCAACATCTCCAATACCTTTTTTCACCGCGGAGGAGGGTTGGGTGGCATGGCTGCTGACTTGGGCAACCCTGTTCCTACAGCGCCGATTTTGTTGGCTCGGCCACGTCTGTCGCATGGAGGACGGGATGATCCTATACGGCGTCCTCAAAAGGGCACCTAACGTGCTCCATCCCCGCTTTAAAAACTGCTGCAAGCGGGTCTTGACGGCGACAGGCATGGACCTTTCGAGGTGGCAGGAACTTGCCGCCGACCGTGGAGAATGGAGCCTAGCAGAAGACTCATGGGAGGCGAGGTTAAGCTGCAGCAATCGGCTTTGGGAAGAGCGGAATCGGCCGAACAGCAACCAGAGTACAACTCCTGTAGACTCCATGAAGAAGCGCAGCCACTGCAACAGGGACTACCGTTCCCAAGTAGGCCTGTACAGTCACAAGAGGCGCTGCTTTGCCAATGGCAACTGACTGTCCTTCCACCAGGCCGCAGATCCAGTTAGTTTCTAAGGCGCTGTTACGTACATATTTTCCAACTATTATGATAATTTTATTTGATCTCAGTTGCCAATCACCTTATGGTTCCACTACTTTCTTGTATAAACTTGTCTATACCAACTCCGATAACTACAAAGTATGATACAATAAGTTTAGCCAACTGACTCACGTGTCATAATGACTCGCTGCTCTAACATGACATCCTATTGAAATGTTATTATTCCGCTGTGGACTGACTATAAATGAATATCATCAATATGTTTGCAGCTCGAGCATCCAAATAATGTGACCTGACCCCCTAGTGTAAATCCTTGTGGATATTGCATCCGACAGCTAGATTATTGTTAATATGTTTTATGTGTTTAAGCCAGAATCATTGGGGGCGGTCGGGTAGCCTAGTGGTTAAAGCGTTCGCTCGTCACGCCGAAGACCCGGGTTCGATTCCCGACATGGGAACAATATGTGAAGGCAATTTCTGGTGTCGCTGCCGTGATGTTACATGAATATTGCTAAAAGTGGCGTAAAACCATACTCACTCACTCACTCATAATTCTTGCTTAATTATTACGTTACCTGTTCTTTTCCCAACCTAATGATTATTACCAATAAACGTCTAGAGTGACTGATATATTCCTAAAAACACGGTCCCGTATCTCCTTTCACGTTCTATATACTGAGAATTGTACTTGCTGGTGTGTTTGACCGCTAACGTTTCTATTCATTCACTATGTGGTTTCAAGGATGGAGATTAATTATCTCCCTTGGCCCACCTTGAGTCAAATGTTGATAAACGCACCACGACGATACAGATCAAGCTGGTCAGTGGAATTAACTCCATTACCAGATGATGTACATGTGTGTTAATTCAAACGCACACTTGACATTTCGTTCATTTCAAATTAAAATGAAACAGGAACGAGTTTGTTCGGAGAGCTGACATTTCGCCCTTCAGGTTGAGGAATTCCTCTTTACCCGCCGGCTCCGGGTGCTGTCAAATGCCAGATCGGTTCAGGAGTTCACACGTTGTTTGAAACAACCTGTCTTACCTGGGTCATCACAATCATAGCGTAGAGACATGACCAGAAGGAGTTATAGTCGATTCGTTTTCAGGTATGTTTATACATTACCATTACTTTAGAAACTGTAACCACAGATATTTCTTTTTAATAACCATACATCCTTTATGTTTGTGGGCCATGCGATATATACTTAAGGATTGACTATGGGTTTTTTTCAGTTGAGGCATTAATCGAAAAGCTGATGTGCACACTGTATGAATCCGCGTAGGAATCAATGCTTATAGTTGAATTCGACGACGAAAACATATAATAGTTTAACCCAAAACAGTTCTTTATATCAAAGCAGACAAAAATGGCGAGACTGATAAACATTCCAGGTGTAGGAATACACGCTGTGGCGTGACATGAATCAGGTGATTGTTTAATTTATGCACATAACTTGACACGCCACAAGGTCAGTAGCCAATCAACGGAGAGTAGGATTAAAACAAAGTTTAATAGGACCTGTCAATCAAGGCAAGAGGCGAGAAGAACTGCAACCGTCAGACGAGCCGGAACAAATATATCCGGGAGAAGGCGGCTGTTTCAAATGACATAGTCAGTTACCGCCAGATTCGAACATTAGTTCCCTAAGAACGGGAAGACCCAGTTGGAAAATTGCTAGTTAGAATTGAAACCCGAAGACATGAAAGTTGTGGAACCGAGGCGAGCGGGACAAAAAAAAGACGAGCGAACCTGCACTAAGCTGTTTCGTTCCTTCTCGGCCTTCAGTCTCAAGGGTTGTATGAACAAGGACTATGCATGAATTTCGCTAAATGCCCAGTGCATGGCGATACACGTGAGCAGAAAGGGAATTTCCTCGCATGTGATATTAGGATTCCCCGACATTCCATAGTAATAAAACCCCGTGAGGATTCCGAGGTAGAATAGGTCTTCAGCAGCCCGTGCTTGCCGTAAAAGGTGACTATGCTTGTCGTAAGAGGCGACTGACGGGATCGGGTGGCCAGGCTTGCTGACTTGGTTGATACATGTCATCGATCCCAATTGCGTGGATCGATGCTCATGATATCAATCACTGGATTGTCTGGTCCAGACTCGATTATCTACAAACCGCCGTCATATAGCTGGAATATTGCCGAGTGCGGCGTAAAACAACAAACCAACCAACAACCGTAGTAATAAAGGTAGTCCGCTTCGGTGGGCGCGGCTTATTTTTTTTACATTCATTGGGAAATGAATGCAATAACACGTAACCAATTCAACTAAACAGAATGCAGCCATTTCAATGATCATAACAAATTATAACAGTTGAAAGTGTAATACATACACACATTATATATATGTGTGTGTGTGTGTGTGTGTGTGTGCGTGCGTGCGAATCAGTGTGTAAAATGCTATTCACTTGGGTAATTTTTATAAAATACCTTAAGAGTTCAGTCATTTGACAAATTAACTGATACACCTGTCCATTTATTGGACAAATTGACTAAAATTATTAAGAACTTCAAAAGGGCTTAGAAACACCACCACAATGTTTGGGAATTGTTATCCTGATAAGATATATAGACAGCTTTGTCAGTCAATTTGTGAAATGACTGAAATATTTAAGCGATATTCAAAAGTGAATTGCATTTTACACACTGACTCTCACATATATATATATATATATATATATATATATAATATATATATATATATATATATATATATATATATATACATGTGAATTACGTGCATGCACTTCGCTATGTAGAAGTGCAATAATATTGGACGCTTTGTTAAATCCCATTTCACCTCACCTCAAATGACAATTAATACTAACCTTATTATATCACACAATAGTCATGTATGGGTCGCATACAGGTTCATTCTTTTCTTTGTCGTAAGAGGCGACTAACGGGATCGGGTGCATGGTCAGGCTCGCTGACTTGGTTGATGCATGTCATCGTATCCCAATTGCGTGCATTGATGCTCATGATTTCAGTCACTGGATTGTCTGGTCCAGACTCGATTATTTACAGTCCTCCGTCATATAGCTGAAATAGTGAGTGCGGCGTTAAACAGCAAACAAACAAATCCATGTATTTTCATTGCAGGAAACAAGCTATGAAGTATACCATCCTATTGCCTCTGTTACTGTTGATGTCAGCGGATCATCTCCATGGATTTGACGAGCATGATGAATGTAAGTAAAGATGAGCCCTGTAGATTGGGGGAAATAGTATCAATGATTCTTTATATACATTATCTGTTTTGCTTAGTGCTGATTGGCTGGTTCGTTTCAATTGATCCACTGGTTTCATTGTTTTTCCACTTACTGAAATCGAAAAACCTCCATTTTTGTACATTTTCCAAGAACAAAGACTGTGGTTAATATAAAGAATTCTCGGAATTCTGGATAATGTGCCCATCGTTCATAACGTTAAAAGTTACTCGTCAATGCTCGGAAATTACAGAACGAATTCACTTGGAAAAAAATCCGTAATTCCTCGAAGATCGTATGCTTTTCTGTAATTGGGCCAACCGATGAATTACTGACGCAGTGTACATTCACTTTTCAAGGTTTCAATATGAGTGAGTGAGTGAGTGAGTGAGTGAATGAGATTGGTTTTATCGCCGCTTTTAACAGTATTCCAGTTATACCACGGCGTATTTGATTAACGTGGGAGGAAAACCCGAAGTGATGCAGGTCTCAGACGTTTACCACTTTGGTGAATCCCTAGAGCACGGGTATGTTGCTGACAAACCTTGAATCATAATCGGGGCGAACCGGGATTCGAACCCCCGAACATATGTTCCTGGCGTGCCCCAGGAACAGCGATTTGCGAGGACTTAGACGACTTAGACAACCGTGCCCCAGTTTAAAGATGAACAGGACTGATTATTTGACGAACAGGTATTCTGGTTATTCTAGCTAGAACACAATTAAAAAGTATTCTTCGAAATGGTACCACAAGTAAAAGCATTGTGGAAATATGGTTTATGTGGAATGACAGTGGGTGTTATGGTGTTGATGTGACCTCTCACAATTAGATTGATACAACATTCTGAACGAGTTTTTAATAAATACCCACATTCCCTTTCAAACAAAGTTTATTTTAAAGAAAGATAGAAATAATACAGATATAAGTGTTGGGTACATTTTGATTAGTATTTAAATAACACTCAGGCACACTATTAGACACTACTAGTTGAAATGTGTTTTTACTATTCCAAAGAATAATCACAATATCCACAATTATCCATACGTAAATATCTAAGACCTAAACAATCACACATTCGATTTCAACTTCGTCAAATATGTTTAAATTTCCTTTCCTGCGAAATATGTTTGTCGTATTAATGACATGGCTTACGTTTGATAAATCAACTTATTTGATAGTGCTTCGTCTACCATGTATCTATATATTGTTTCCAGAAGATAACTGTGACAGATAGCAATAGTTACTGTTCCAATTCGATAGACAGGATTGTTTGTTGTTTAACGCCGCACTCAGCAATATTCCAGCTGTATAACGACGGCCCGTAAATAATCAAGTCTGGACCAGACAATCCAGTGATTGACATCATGAGCATCGATCCACGCAGTTGGGATACGATTACATGCATCAACCAGGTCAGCGAACCTGACCACCCGATCCCGTTAGCCGCCTCTTACGACAAGCATAGTCGCCTTTTACGGCAAGCATGGGTTGCTAAAGGCCTATTCTACCCCGGATCTTCACAGGTACTTTGGTTAGAAATAAATAAACCCATGGCTTGTAAACAATCTGTTTGTATCATCAGTAAAAGAAGGTTCTGTTGTATCGTTGTAGGTTTACACGACAACAAGGAATGGGTGAAAGTTCTAGAAACTGCCAAAGATGGGGCCGTGGTTTCTGGAAGAAAAGAGGCTTTACAGGAGTCGGTAAAGCACGGCGCAAGGATAAAATTTGGCACTAACGATTACTTTGCCGAAGTTGACAACTGTCGGAACATAAACGGTGATGTATGCTGCCAGGCACTAATGCATATCAGCAAATCTGGATGGAATGCATTTCAAGGAAATGCCTATTGGTGGATGAGCAATATTTGCACGACAGGCAACTGGCACATGATCAGATATAATGTCGGAAGCACCAACCTGTCTGAGTCACGGCTCACGTCTGCCTTTAAGTGGTTTGTTTTGAAAACGAACTACCAACAACCTGTTTACTCTACCTTTGCAAATGGAACTTTTAAGTTGGGTAGTGTAGACACGCTTCTTTCAGCTGTTCTGCAAGGAAAGTCGATTTCTGTGTCGCAACAGCAGAATGTTGTATTTCATGTACAAAATATTGAGATCTTCAACACAGGGTCTGATGGGAAAGCCACGGTAAGCGCTGAACATATCTGGAGCGTCAGTCAGAGTGTCGCAGGAAACCATCTGGAGTTTCAAGGCAATGCCTACTGGTGGTTCTTGATCCTCAACACAGCTGGTACTCGGGATATGTCCAGGTGGAGTGTGGGCTCTCACACACCAAGAGGCCAGTCTCGGGATAATGTGGACACTAACTGGTTTGTGGATCCTTGTTGGGTTCCAGTTCATACCTATAGCGGTCTGGGCTCAGATTCATTGTGGACGAGGTACATCCTGAAACTTCTCATCGAAGCTGGACACAATGTTCGTGTGAAGTTCGGTGATACGATCGTTGGAGCAGAGAGCATACGGCTCACAGAGACGCACGTGGCAGTCCAAAGCATATCTGCATTGGCTAGAGCTGACTCCAAAACGTTCGAAAGTGACTTGAACTGGGAGTTTAGAGTTCTGGGAACGACTGGAGCTGTTCGAACATATCGCCCCCTCGTCGGATCATCTTCAGCAAGCCCACTAGGCTACACAATTGACAGACAGGAGATGACTTGGTACGTTGACACTAGGAAATGGCGTTTATTGTTTCACTTGTTGACGGATGGCACAGTCGTTAAAGGGTCGGCCTTGGATGTCAGAAATGCTGTCGAAGACGGAGCGGACATCAGAGTAGCGTTCAAACTGCCCGACGATCCCGGATTCCGGTATCACAAAGCAGACAATCTTGCCTTGGGACCCACTCCAAATGTTGCAGCACAGATTGTTCGGGCACTGCGAGATAACCAGACATCCTGTGATGAGTTTGAGTTTGACCAATCACCACAATGGTCCTTCAAGCTGATCACTACAACTGGGTTTGTTCTCAATTCAAACTGGGTTGTTGGAGAACACGTCAACAAAGGTCGCACGAGTGAACGCGCTGAAATGCAGTGGTTTGCAAGTGTTAAAGGAGCCTAACCACCTCCCAGAAAGAAAAACCAACAAAAAAAACCGCCCGAAAGCACACAAGAAAAAGAAAAACCTCTTCACTGCAGTTTAACGTCGATATTGTTTATTCTTTCCTTTGACTCCAAGAACTGTCCAAGAAATATCCACATTAGATATGTTACATGTAAATTTCTGAAATGTTTACATTTGGTGACTGTGTATTAAAATCACGTTGTATAATCTAACTGTATATGGCTAGCCGTTCCTCGATGAATAAATAATTGCTTGGGCTCTATGTTGCGTCTCCATGGTGATATAGTTATAGTTTAGTCTATCGCTGACGAAGTAGTGAGGAGTGTCAGCTTTTCATGACTCGGCTTAGTATAAAGCTACAAGAAATACTAACCATGATATACATTCATCCATAACAAACGTGATACTTTCTTGGTAAAGTACAGATTCTCGTACTTTTTGTGGTTGAGTCCCGTCCGGGATTCGAACCCACACTGCCAGGGTGAGGCACCTAATCGCCAGGACACAAAGTCAGTGATCTAACCCAATCGGCCACCGGTGCTTCCATAAAAATGAAATTCCGTCAACTGGGAGTCTAGATCTCGTACTTTGTGTACCCCTCTGACAAGTGTAAATTGGCCAGACTCCCTCTTTTCATATTGCCAGGTGTGTGGAGGTGCACCCATATAAGCTTTGGCCACGGCTGAAAGAATGGGGTCATATTCCTAACCAACATTTGTTTCCTTTTCACAATTTACAACCTTGGTAGAACCCACAAACATGGGGTACAACCAAAGGAGCGCATGAGGGATTCTGACACTTAATGGAAGTAACTCTCAACAACAAGTTGCGACGTCTTAGACCAGGGGGCCGTCTGTGCATCCGGCATCTGGCAGTTTGGGGCATCAGAATACCTCAGACAGAACACTATCTTAATTTATACCTTAACATCAGAGATGGTGAACCTTACTTATTTTGAATGGATTTTAGGGTATAACAGTGCAGCGGCAACCATAATACTAACATGTATTGCAACAGGATATACACAAAGAAAACGGTTAAGAACACCCTAATATATTTCATTATTGTTTGGTCCCAGTATTTGTAACTGTCATGAAAGATATACTGAACAGCATTGAAATTGCACCAGCAATAAATCTTGAAATATTACAAAAACAACTTGAGCAATGACCGATTTTGATTAGAACAGACATAGACGGATTATTAAGAAAGACGACAAAGGAAACTGGAATACCACACAGTAATTACAATTATGTCATCAGTGTAAGGAAGACAAATAGGGTTAAAATGAAAAGTCAATATCTGGTATGTCCGCAATTGACAGCAACACAGGCCATGCAACGTCTTCTCATTGATCGAATAAGTTTGCGAATAGCGTTCTGGGGTATTCCACTCTTGACGTAGTGTATCTTCAAGTTCTCTCAGGTTCTGTACTTGACCCAGGTAATCCCATAGATGTTCAATTGGCGATAGATCAGGTGACAGGGCTGACCGCAAGGTACTGTGTTGAAACACGTGCTGTGTGCGCTCTTGCATTATCTTGCTGGAAGGTGTGCATATCCTGGTGCTGATGAAAGAATGGGATGACGTGATTTGCCAATATCATATTCCTGTAGTAAAGGGCATTAACTCTTCCACGACAATCATGGAGCTCTGTTCGATGGTTATGACTGATGCCGCCCCACACCATGACACTCCCTCCCCCCCCCCCCCCCCCCCCCCCCACACACACACACACCATCGATCTGTCTGTACAACGCAATCATTGTGGTAACGTTCTCCACGTCGGCGACACACTCGCAGTTGACCGTCAGCATTCCGTAAATGAGAACGGTATTCTTCAGAGAACAGCACACCATGCCACTGCCGCAATCTCCAATGACGATACCTTTTGGCCCAACGCAGACGTTCATTTCGATGTCGATCAGTGAGTATGGGTCCAACATATGGACGTCGAGCACGTAGCCCTGCTGAGCGGTTCCAAACTGATGAAGAGTTCCAAACACGTAACTGTTCCATTTTTGCATTCTCTCTTTAATGACATTTTCAACAAAAGTATATTTCCGTCAACTTGGTCAAAATCTATCATTGTTCCCCTATTTAAGAAGGGTGATACAAGCGATCCTGATAATTATAGAGCAATTTCATTGACAAGTATTTTAGGTAAAGTTTTTGCTATAGTTTTAAACAACCGTTTAACGCTCTGGTCTAATGTTTATGATAAAATTCCAGAAAATCAGGCAGGCTTCAGACGATCATATTCACCTATCGACCATATTTTTACACTTGATTCTATTGTACAAAAATATCTTGGATGCCGGAAGCGAAAACTGTATGTTGCATTTGTGGACTTCAAAAAAGCTTTTGATAGTGTTAATCGATGTAAACTTTGGGATTGTTTGAGAAAAAAGGGGAGTTGGGGGTAAAATGTATAAAATGTTAAAATCTATATATGCAAATGTCAAATCATGTGTTCGTCACAAAAATGGTGTCACTGATTACTTTGATTGCCCTATCGGTGTGAAACAAGGCTGCATTTTAAGCCCTCTCTTTTTCTGTTTCTTTGTGAACGAATTGTCCCTTGAAATCCAACAAAACGTAAAACACGGTGTCCAACTTTATCCAGATATGTATGAATTGCTAATATTACTTTTCGCAGACGATGTTATACTAATTTCTTATACTGTTAATGGGCTTCAAATTTAAAAAGACATATTGTTTCAGTATACCATCTCCGGAAACTGACTGTTAATACAGATAAAACGAAAATTGTTTTAGAAAGGGGGGTCCTCTTGCATCCAGGGAAAAATGGTATTTAAATGGGCAACAAATTAATGTTGAAAAAACTTATAAATACCTTGGTGTCATTTTTCCTTTTAATCTGAAACTAAATCACCTCGTCAACGATCTTGCGCTACGTGCTAAGAGAGCCCTCATTACTTTATTTGTTGTTCTTGATAAACTCGGTGTGTCTTCCCCGTCTGTTTTCTTCAAACTTTTTTATTCTCAAGTTAAACCAATTCTGTTATATGGTTCAGAGAGTTGGGGTCTCGAAAAATATCACATCTTGGAAATAATTCACTTAACTGCAGGTAAACGATTCTTGAATGTTGGCAAATCTACCCAAAATTGTATTGTGTATGGTGAATGTGGAAGACATCCCTTATATATCTGTTCTTATGTACGCGGTCTAAACTATTGGTTAAAGATAACAGAAATGTCACCTGATCGTATTCCACGTAAATGTTATGAAATGATGAAATACCGCGACAATGTTGGTTATATAACATGGGTCACTAAGATCAGACAACTTTTATTTCTTCATGGATTTGGATATGTTTGGATTTACCAAAGTGTTGGAGATAAGACAGCATTTCTTAGTGTATTTAAACAAGTTGCATCTGATATGTTTATCCAAGAATGGAGAGCTACATTGAAAAATAGTTCAAGATACGACCTTTATAAAACATTTAAATCCTGCTTATCTCCAGAACAGTACTTAACAGAAATAACACAGAAAACTAAGAGTGTGTTTTACACGTTTTAGATTAGGTTTGAACAATTTAGTATGTAATATGGGTCGCCGCAATCTCCAATGACGATACCTTTTGGCCCAACGCAGACGTTCATTTCGATGTCGATCAGTGAGTATGGGTCCAACATATGGACGTCGAGCACGTAGCCCTGCTGAGCGGTTCCAAACTGATGAAGAGTTCCAAACACGTAACTGTTCCATTTTTGCATTCTCTCTTTAACGACATTTTCAACAAAAGTATATTTCCGTCAACTTGGTCAAAATCTATCATTGTTCCCCTATTTAAGAAGGGTGATACAAGCGATCCTGATAATTATAGAGCAATTTCATTGACAAGTATTTTAGGTAAAGTTTTTGCTATAGTTTTAAACAACCGTTTAACGCTCTGGTCTAATGTTTATGATAAAATTCCAGAAAATCAGGCAGGCTTCAGACGATCATATTCACCTATCGACCATATTTTTACACTTGATTCTATTGTACAAAAATATCTTGGATGCCGGAAGCGAAAACTGTATGTTGCATTTGTGGACTTCAAAAAAGCTTTTGATAGTGTTAATCGATGTAAACTTTGGGATTGTTTGAGAAAAAAGGGGAGTTGGGGGTAAAATGTATAAAATGTTAAAATCTATATATGCAAATGTCAAATCATGTGTTCGTCACAAAAATGGTGTCACTGATTACTTTGATTGCCCTATCGGTGTGAAACAAGGCTGCATTTTAAGCCCTCTCTTTTTCTGTTTCTTTGTGAACGAATTGTCCCTTGAAATCCAACAAAACGTAAAACACGGTGTCCAACTTTATCCAGATATGTATGAATTGCTAATATTACTTCTGTGTCGTTTTTCCTCAGTTTTCCTCAGTTTAAAAAGATATGCGTTTTTGTCCTTTTTGTCCCACATTTATTGAAAACGAATACCATTTTATGCTTATCTGTCCATGTTATGAATCGCTCAGAACAAAATATTTCCAAGGTTTACCCCAAAACATCAATACACTAATCAAGCTCCTCCGTAATGAAATATCTAACGAGCAACAAAAGAATACTATCCTATACATTAATTATGGTTTACGACTTCGCAAATGTACAAATGATGTTTAATTATTCTTGAGGTTATTTGCCTTTATTAATCAAATGCTTTCATCTCCTCTTGTTGTGATGCGATTTATTTTTCACAAAATTGTACACGTGCACATCTCTGTGCATATGCCTGCATGTTTCTACTTGTACAAAATTGTATATATATAATATTATTGTATGTATATCGGCCTATGGCCTGAATACAATCAATGATGATGATGATGATGATGATGATGATGAGCGGAGATGTCGACGCACGGTGGCAGCACTGATCAATTCCGTCGGCCTTGTACGGTTGCTGCAGTCCTGGTAGCCGGAAGTGTACGATCACGAAGATGCCGACGAACAATATGGCGATCCTGACGTGATGTAGTTACACGACGTTGACCCGGACGTGGTCGTTCTCTGGTGGTTCTTGTCTGCTGGTATCTGCTCAGTAGCCTGAGGACTGTTGAATGATGGCATTGAAACCGTTGTGCAACGACTCTACTTGACGTGCCAACTTGAAGTATGCCCAAGGCACGTTCACGTTGGTCTGCTGTTAATCTTGGCATTTCTTGTGTCAGTACCTTTTACGTCTGCAGCAACAAGTGATGTGGCTTTTAAAAGTCTGTCTTTTATAGCCCTATTCTGCATGCTTCCCGTGAAACAAAACACGTTTTCCATGATGTGCACGCATTTGTTGCGTTTTGGCGATTTCGCTCACAAAAAAATTTAGAATGTGTTTTGACGAGCTGTTCTTCTTCATGCTTCGTCCAGAACGTCGTATATTACTCATTCACTTATATATTTTAATATGACTTAAGCCCGGATAAAAATACACCCATTTTCATGGTGGTGCGTTTTCAATGCTGTTCAGTATATAATTACGTGAAGAATTATGTTTTCTCGAGATGATGTAATCAGTCATGCGTGACGAAAGCTCACGTGCCATGCCTGGTATACCCGTGCAACATGCTACCCTCGAGTATCTCTAAAAGCAGTATATCTAAATGTTAAAATTGCTTTCTTAAGCTCGGTTTTAAACAGTTATTCCATGACATCGTGTGACCATGTCACGAAGGTGATTATCAAACGCCACAAGATGGCAAATAATCAGCATACATAACGCAGGAATGTCTTGTAATGTCATTGGTCGGAATTTGGGGTATACTCACACTGTCGTAAACCGTTTAGTCGAGAAACATGCTCAGCCCGGTGATGTACAGGACCGCCCAAGATCCGGAAGACGACCTGTGACGACATATCGCGAAGACAGGCACCTTCTTCGTCTCATGCGCCAAGAACCCTTATAACAACTACTCGTCTGAAACAGCTGTGGTTGCCCAATCGTCGTTTCAGCATGGGAGCCGTCAGGAACCGGCTGAAAGCAGCAGGACTGAGGGCTGGTCACAAAGCTGCTCGTTTGGCATAGTATATTGCGCGAACTGGAATCTGAGAACTTGGATCCATTGGTCAGACGAAAGTCGCTTTCTGCTCCACGTCACTGATGGAAGAACGAGAGTTTGGAGGCACCGGTACACGGCCTACACCCCCAGGTACATTATACTGACTGTTGTATACGGCGGGGGCTCGGTAATGGTTTGGGGCTGTATCTCTCATGATTGCAGGTTTGATTTGGTCACCATAAGGGGCAACTTAACAGGAGCTCAGTACATCCGGGATACAGGGATGACAATGCCAGGCCTCATCGTTCGCATGCAGTCGTTGATTACACGAGGGCCAATGCATTAACGACTCTACCCTAGCCAGCAATGAGCCCGGTTTTGAACCCCCTTGAACATGTTTGTGATATTCAGGGGCGGCGCATACAGGCACGAGATCCTCCTGTACAAGATTTACGCCAATCGGAAGCAGCATTGCATCAGGAGTGGTTGTTGTTGACCCATCAACAGATCCAACGTCTGACTGGTGGCATGAGACGTAGGATGGAATATGTCATCCGGGCACTGATACATTTTTTAGATATTGGCTAAGGTCAAAAACAGTACCTGTGTTGCCATGATGTTTTTGTCAGTAAATTTTAATCACAACTCACCAATATCTTCTTTATTTGTTGTCAAATTTTTGTTCTATCCGATGACATTGGTATCGCCGAGCTCTTTGGGTCAGTCATCCCATGCCATGATTTTAGCCATTTGTCATGGTTCAGAAATAGGAGTGTGCTTAACTTACACAAACGGTGTACCTGCATCTTCTGTGGAATTCAGAGCGCCGTTCTTGAAGTTTTATCTGATGCTCATCAGCAGGCCTATATACATATCAGTGAATCCCCTATGAAATAGAGATAGGCCGCGTCCAAGAAGCCTGCAGGTCTCTTCAGACGCCTCTTGTGGAGAGCATCTTGGGTCACGTGTCCTCCACGTGGAGTACCCGGCATGAATGGACAGACGAAGGTCCCAGCAGTTAGGACAGCGACACAGGTCCTCAGTGACATTCGTACATCTAAAGTTGAAACAACAAGGGTGGTCCCAGAATTGCTACACATGGCGCGAATAAAAGGAATGACCTACGAATAACCCTTGCTGCCACATTTACCATCTGGTCTCTGTGGGCATCTGAAGAGCCAGGACACAAAAGTCTTCTCTGACTTCCGTTTCTCTGCCAGAGTCAAAGGTCGGCTAATCCACTGCCCTTGTGTCATGTTATCTAATACACTCGGGCATGTGTTGTTAACTACTGCTGCAGGTGCTCGCGGTTTGATCTTCATTGTTGGAAGAATTGTGGAGCATGGTATAAACTAACAATGGATATTAGAATGACTGCAATAATAAGAACATCTCGATTTGATAAATGTGTAGACTGGAAGACCATACTCAGAAGATAGTGATGTGGGATGCCACGGCAGTGCTTGCAGATACTGAAGACTTCACTGGACACCTCGCCCTGTACGTCATTTGTGTGTGTGTGTGTGTGTGTGTGTGTGTGTGTGTGTGTGTGTGTGTGTGTGTGTGTGTGTGTGTGTGTGTGTGTGTGTATGTGTGTGTGTGTGTGTGAGTGTGTGTGTGTATGTTCTTGTGTGTAAAGGCAATGATTTTAGGGCATGGATATTTCACTGAATACGTCTTCTTGTAGGTCTTCCATGTTTATATGTCTCTGTGGAAAGGCAGTGTTTGTGAGTCACAGGAGATTTTTTGTACGTGTTCCGTATGCGTATATATACTGAACCGCAAAAGAAACGTCGGGCCAAGTAACATTGCATGAAAAATTGGATATTTTTGTTCAAAGTTTCTAAAAACTAATATTCCCTTGTCCGGAAAAATATAATTTCATAATAAATAACAAAGCAGATGACAATAAAACCGATCGCCCAAACGCATCATGGCAACGGTCATGGTAACCCGATGCACGTGAGTTCCATGCAAATTGAAATGCATTTCTTGTCCTATCCACCCAGATCGGATAACATTCATTCGTTATTGAATTGCTACTACATGCCAAGATTGACAAGAAATCAGCTACACCAAGTCCTTGGACGATTGCAAGCTACACAAACCGCCCGGCAAGTTGCCAATGCATTTCAAGTCAACGTAAGGACCATATACAGGCTCCAGCGACGGTACCAGACCACCAACACTACAGATGACTGACAACGTAGTGGAAGACCAAGGGTCACCACCCGACGTCAGGTCGTCAGATTGTGCGACAGCAACTTCAAGATCGCTTTGTTACTGCTGCGGAAACTGCTCGACAGACCATGGGGACACACCAGCGACACATTAGAGTGGACATCGTGCGTCGACGATTGACGAGCAGACAACTCCACTATCACAGGCCACACCGAGGACCCATTCTGACACCACGTCATCGCCGGGACCGTCTTCAGAGGGCAACACAGCACCAGCATTGGCGCTACCAGCAGTGGAGAAGAGTCCTCTTCTCAGACGAGAGCTGGTACTGTATCTCAACAGCAGATGGCACAGAGAGAGTCTGGCAAAGCCGTGGGGAACGTTATTCGGATGCTTGTGTTGTTGAGAGAGACTCGTGGGGTGGTCCGAGTATCATGGTGTGGGTAGGAATTGGTCTTGCACAGAGAGTCGGCCCTGTGGTCTTCCAGAACATCGGTCCAGGGAGAGCTAATGGTCTCACAGCAGCTCGGTACATTGATCAAGTCTTGAGACCACGCGCCATACCTCATTTGGCATACCACGAGTTTCAGCATGATAACGCCCGTGCCCACACTGCGAGAGCAACAAGAGACTTCTTCCAGCAAAATGGCATCAGAACCATGCAGTGGCCTGCCCTCAGTCCCGATTTAAATCCCATTGAGAACATGTGGGACGAGATTCAAAGACGGCTGAATGACGTCCGACCAAGGCCGTCAACTGCAGCTGAACTGCGTCAGGCGTTCCTCAGAGTGTGGGCTCAAGTGCCTATGGCCTTCATCAAATGCCTCATTCATTCCATGTATCGACGTTGCACGGCAGTCATCAATGCACATGGCGGGCACACGAGACACTGACTTGTGATGACATTTTCTCACAGACTAGTGTTGTGTCTTTCACTTTAAGAACATTTGACACTTTAATTTCAACCTTCTCATTCTCATATACTATCCAAAAAAAGAAACGCATAGGTGTTACTGATATGTCAAAACGAAAATAGTACCTATTGTATTCATATTGGGCTTGTATGGACAAGGACTATGCATGAATTTCGCTAAATGCCTTGTGGATGGCGATACACGTGAGCAGAAAGGGAATTTCCACGCATGTAATATTAGGATTCCCCGACATTCCGTAGTAATAAAACCCCATGACGATTCCGGGGTAGAATAGGTCTTCAGTAACCCATGCTTGCCGTAAAAGGCGTCTGTGCTTGTCGTAAAAGGCGACTAACGAGATCGGGTGGTCAGGTTCGCTGACTTGGTTGATACATGTCGTCGATCCAAATTGCGTGGATCGATGCTCATGATGTCAATCGCTGGATTGTCTGGTCCACTTACTGAAATCGAAAAACCTCTATTTTTGTACATTTTCCCACAACAGAGACTGTGGTTAATATAAAGAATTCTCGGAATTCTGGATAATGTGCCCATCGTTCATAACGTTAAAAGTTACTCGTCAATGCTCGGAAATTACAGAACGAATTCACTTGGAAAAAAATCCGTAATTCCTCGAAGATCGTATGCTATTCTGTTATTGGGCCAACCGATGAATTACTGACGCAGTGTACATTCACTTTTCAAGGTTTCGATATGAGTGAGTGAGTGAAATGGGTTATCGCCGCTTTTAACAGTATTCCAGTTATACCACGGCGTATTTGATTAACGTGGGAGGAAAACCCGAAGTGATGCAGGTCTCAGTCGTTTACCACTTTGGTGAATCCCACGAGCACGGGTGTGGTGCTGACAAACCTTGGTTCATAATTGGGGCGAACCGGGATTCGAACCCACGAACATGTGTTCCTGGCGAGCCCTAGGAACAGCGATTTGCGGCGACGTAGACAACTTAGACACCCCTGCCCCAGTTTAAAGATGAACAGGACTGATTATTTTACGTACAGGTATTTTGGTTATTCTAGCTAGAATACAATTGAAAGTATTTTTCGAAATGGTACCACAAGTAAAAGCATTGTGGAAATATGGTTTATGTGGAATGACAGTGGGTGTTATTGTGATTGATTGACAACATTCTGAACGAGTTTTTAATAAATACCCACATTCCCTTTCAAACAAAGTTTATTTTAAAGAAAGATAGAAATAATACAGATATAAGGGTACATTGGGTACATTTTGATAAGTATTTAAATAACACTCAGGCACACTATTAGACTATATTTGTTGAAATGTGTGTTTACTATGCCAAAGAATAATTATAATATCCACAATAATCTATACTTAAATATCTAAGACCTAAACAATCACACATTCGATTTCAACTTCGTCAAATATGTTTTCCTTTCCTGCGAAATATGTTTGTCGTATTCATGACATGGCTTACGTTTGATTAATTTATTTGATAGTGCTTCGTCTACCATGAATCTAATTATTGTTTCCAGAAGTTGACTGTGACAGATAGCAATAGTTACTGTTCCAATTCGATAGCCAGGTTTGTTTGTTGTTTAACGCCGCACTCAGCAATATTCCAGCTGTAAAACGGCGGCCCGTAAATAATCAAGTCTGGACTATATAATCCAGTGATTGACATCATGAGCATCAGATCTACGCAGTTGGGATACGATTATATGCATCAACCAAGTCAGCGAACCTGACCACCCGATCCCGTTAGCCGCCTCTTACGACAAGCATAGTCACCTTTTACGGCAAGCATGGGTTGCTGAAGACCTATTCTACCCCGGAATCGTCATGGGGTTTTATTACTACGGAATGTCGGGGAATCCTAATATTACATGCGAGGAAATTCCCTTTCTGCTCACGTGTATCGCCATCCACAAGGCATTTAGCGAAATTCATGCATAGCCCTTGTCCCGTTAGCCGCCTCTTACGACAAGCATAGTTGCCTTTTACGGCAAGCATGGGTTGCTGAAGACCTATCCTCAGCCGGATCTTCACAGGTACTTTGGTTAGATGGTATACACATGTATGCAGTTTAGCATAAATCCAAAACGTGGAAGGATGCAATAAATAAACCAATGGCTTGTAAACAATCTGTCTGTATCATCGGTGAAAGAAGATTCTGTTGTATCGTTGTAGGTTTACACGACAACAAGGAATGGGTGAAAGTTCTAGAAACTGCCAAAGATGGGGCCGTGGTTTCTGGAAGAAAAGAGGCTTTACAGGAGTCGGTAAAGCCCGGCGCAAGGATAAAATTTGACACTAACGATTACTTTGCCGAAGTTGACAACTGTCAGAACATAAATGGTGATGTATGCTGCCAGGCACTAATGCATATCAGCAATTCTGGATGGAATGGATTTCAAGGAAATGCCTATTGGTGGATGAGCAATATTTGCACGACAGGCAACTGGCACACGATCAGATATTACGTCGGAAGCACCTTCCTGTCTGGGTCACGGCTCACGTCTGCCATTAAGTGGTTCGTTTTGAAAACGAACTACCAACAACCTGTTTACTCTACCTTTGCAAATAGAACTGTTAAGTTGGGTAGTGTAGACACGTTTCTTTTAGCTGTTCTGCAAGGAAAGTCGATTTCTGTGTCTCAACAGCAGAAAGTTGTATTTCCTGTGGAAAATATTGAGATCTTCAACACAGGGTCTGATGGGAAAGCCATGGTAAGCGCTGAACATTTCTGGAGCTTCAGTCAGAGAGTCGCAGGAAACCATCTGGAGTTTCAAGGCAATGCCTACTGGTGGTTCTTGATCCTCAACACAGCTGGTACTCGGGATATGTCCAGGTGGAGTGTGGGCTCTCACGCACCAAGAGGCCAGTCTCAGGATAAAGTGGACACTGCCTGGTTTGTGGATCCTTGTTGGGTTCCAGTTCATACCTATAGCGGTCTGGGCTCAGATTCATTGTGGACGAGGTACATCCTGAAACTTCTCATCGAAGCACGTGGCGGTCCAAAGTATATCTGCATTGGCTAGAGCTGACTCCAAAACGTTCGAAAGTGACTTGAACTGGGAGTTTAGAGTTCTGGGAACGACTGGAGCTGTTCGAACATATCGCCCCCTCGTCGGATCATCTACAGCAAGCCCACTAGGCTATACAATTGACAGACAGGAGATGACTTGGTACGTTGACACTAGGAAATGGCGTTTATTGTTTCACTTGTTGACGGATGGCAAAGTCGTTAAAGGGTCGGCCTTGGATGTCAGAAATGCTGTCGAAGACGGAGCGGACATCAGAGTAGCGTTCAAACTGCCCGACGATCCCGGATTCCGGTATCACAAAGCAGACAATCTTGCCTTGGGACCCACTCCAAATGTTGTAGCACAGATTGTTCGGGCACTGAGAGATAACCAGACATCCTGTGATGAGTTTGAATTTGACTAATCACCACAATGGTCCTTCAAGCTGATCACTACAACTGGGTTTGTTCTCACTTCAAACTGGGTTGTTGGAGAACACGTCAACAAGGGTCGCACGAGTGAACGGGCTGAAATGCAGTGGTTTGCAAGTGTTTAAAGAGCCTCCACCACCCCCACCCCCTCTCCAAACCATAAAAATGCACAACCAAAAAAATCTTCTCTGCAGTGTAACGTCGTTCCATCCTTCGACTCCAAGAACTGTCCAAGAACTATCCACAGTAAATATGTTACATGTAATTTTAATTTTCGGAAATGTTAATTGTTAGTGTATCTGAATCACGTTGTATAATCTAATCTGACTATGCAATTGATGTTTATGAATGAATAAATATTTGAATGCGCTCAATGTTGCGTCTCTATGGTCATATAGTTATCGTTAAGTTTATTGATGACCGAGTAGTGAGGAGTGTCAGTTAAAAGCTGCAAGAAATGCCAATCATGATATACGGTAAAAACACGATTAGGATACTAAATTGATTTAAAGTGGTATATGCTTTTAGTCATGCTATTACAGCTACGATTTATGCAGCTCCGTAGGGACCCGGGTAAGCGCAGGCCCTCGCAGTGGCTCGAACCCTTTTGCTTGTTAGTGTCGATTAAAATTGGATCAGGTGGTCAAGCACGGCAACTTGAAGGACTGCGTGTAAAGTTAACGTACCCGATGATGTGGGATATTACTCATATCAACCACTGGTGTGCGTTGCCGGGATAATTCGATAATTAACAACCCTCCATGATAAAGCTGGAAAAGTGCCGACTGTGGCGTGAAACATCCACATGGATAAATATGACAAATCCATTAAAGTCATCCATCCGAGATTTATATGACGCATTTCTGTTTTATCCTCGGTTATGTAGCAGAGTCCTGGTCCATTTGTGGCCTGCTGGACGATGCGCACACATGTTTGTGTGTTGTTGTTTTTGCTTAAAGCCGCCTTCATCAATATTACAGCTATATGACGGAGGTCTGTAAATAATCGAATCTGGATCAGACAGTTCAGTGATTGACATCATGAGCATCGATCTACACATTTGGTATAAGATGACATGCATCAACCAAGTCAGCGAGCCTGACCACCCGATCCTGTTAGTCGTCTCTTACGACGAACATAGGTTGCTGAAGACCAATTCTGATCCGGAATCTTCACGGTAGGCGCGCATATGTAATTTGAATATTTGTTTTAATCAGGAATGACGACGTAATTTATTATGCCTTTTCTTGCAGCATCCACCCCAAGCCGTGGGGATTAGCATCCGCGTGTCCTATGCTTCACCGACATTATAACGCAATAAAAATGATTAGGAATTGGCTGGGTGTATTTTATGAGTAAGTGAGTGAGTATGGTTTTGCGCCGCTTTTAGCAATATTCCAATAATATCACGGCGGGGGACACCAGATATGGGCTTCACACATTGTACTCATGTCGGAATCGAACCCTGGTATTCGGCGTGACGAGCGAACGCTTTAAACACTAGGCTACCCGACCGCCCCGGTGTATTTTATGGGTTCCTTAACACCTGTGAACTGTGCCTGGTAAAACCCATTTATTCAGGATTGTTATTCTATCATTTACGATAAGCATTTGATTTGCCTGTAAATCAGTACTAATGAAAGACGAGTCGGCTCCCTTCTGATTATATTCTAAAAGATGTTTTCAATTGTCATTACTATCTGTTTGTGAGATTATTGTGTGACTGAATACCACTTTATTGACAGGATTCTCGTGTTAATCGGCAATTATATAACTATCTGTTCTTCACTTGAGTACCATGTATTGTACAACTACAATATATAATTAATTCTTTTTCGATTGTATACCATTTATTTCCTTGTGATGACGGTGTGTGCGTGTCAGGGAGCCTGGATCTGAATCACGGTACTGGCCTCTTACGACAAACATTGGTTGCGGAAGATCAACTCTAACCCGGGAAAATCTCCCAATGTCAACAAAATGCCCCAACAGCGTCGGCCTCCAATAGCCCCTGACAGTCAAGTCCAACTCCTGGCCTTCATGTAGCAAAACTGTTCTCTCTGACAGGAAAGGTCCGAAAGGTGGCTATCTGTCGCCTTAACACTGGACGCCTCGGACAGAGGTGGCTCGTCAGCCTTGGTTGGCTGCTCTTCTAGAAGAAAAACTCTCATTCCAAACATCCGCTGCCTTCTAAACTCCCACAACAAATCCCGGGTCGGTGTCCTTCAGGCGGTTGTCTTCAACACCCTTCCGTCAGTTCCTGCAACATCTCCAATACCTATGGATTTTTTCACCCGAATGAGTGTTGGGTGGCATGGCTGCTTAATTGGGCAACCCTGTTCCTACAGCGCCGATTTTGGTGGCTCGGCCACGTCTGTCGCATGGAGGACGGGATGATCCCAGACGGCTAGTCCTGAAAAGGGCACATAACGTACCCCACCTCCGCTTTAAAAAACGTCTGCAAGCGGGCCTTGACGGCGACAAGCATGGACCTTTCGAGGTGGGTGGAACTTGCCGCGCACCGTGGACTTCTGGCTCCTGATTGGTCGGTTGGTCTGATGACCTCATTTCCGGTTTCGGTTTGGTCACGTGACTGCGCATGCGCGCAGGGCATGATAGTGTATGCGCATCCAACATGGCGGCACATCCGTTTCCGGTCGCGCGCGCATCCTTCGCTCTCCAAGAGGGCGTCATATCCGTTTCCGGGGAGGAGGGGGAAAACCCGGAGAAGCGCTCGTAAAAGATGAACAGGATCGACATTGAAAGAAGCGCGTCTAAAATCTTCTCTTTTTGTGTTCTTTTTGTGTTTTGGCGGCGGCGGCGGCGGCGGCGGAGGGGAAGGGAGGAGGAGGAGGGGGGGGGGGGGAGTAAGGCTGGAAGGGAGTCGGGTCCTTTATTCATCAAAGTTATCATACATAGTCGATAACCCAGCCACTTTGTTGCTAGGTTGACACCACATCGGCGAAAGATATTGCTACAACAGTCCACAAATGACGTCATCGACTATGATGATGTGATTGTAAACTTTGAGATGTAAGGTTTTGTTCCACAAGGCGGTCGTATTGTAGCACAAGGACAATCGTTCGTTTGAGTGGGTGAGTGGCGATCACCTCAGCACTACGAGCATGGTGTGGAATTCTAAAGGTGTTGCCTGAATTTCTTAACGTGAATCGACAGGCACAGACATGTAGGAATGCAGGGAGCGATCGAAATGGTCCCTGTTTTGATTGGTCCAACACGCTGCGCGCTGATTGGTCCGTTCCGGCGCCTGACTTTCACCTCGGTTTTCCAAACTGGCCCGACCCTTGTGTTTCTTTTTCATAGGGAAAGTGATGACCAGAGAGTGTCTATCCTATTTAAGACACTGTCACCCTGTTTCCTGATTGGACAACAACCCAAGCTTCTGATGGGTAACCATTTTTTATCCTGTTTTTTTCTCCCTGGGGTGAGCATGCTGATTTCTCAATCCTAAAAACACAACACAATTCATTTTTTCAACTTTTAGAGTGGATCGAAAGGGCTCCTGTTTTGATGGCTCCAAAACGCGACACGCCGATGGATCCGTTTTGATGCCTGGACTGAGCCTCAGTTTTCCAAATTGGTCCGACCGTTGTGTGCAAGAAGGAGCCTTGTTTGACTTACACGTAGAACTTTTAGCCTACTGCCAGAGCGATGTGGACATTTTGAGACGAGGATGCGCTAACTTCCGACAGAATGCCATCAGCTCGGTTCGCAGGGATCCCTTTGTAGAGGTGATGACAGCTGCTGCAGCCGCGTCCGAAAACACGACCTGAAACCCAATACCATCGCCATTCTTCCACCTCAAGGTTACCAACCCAAGAGAAATTATTCCCAGGCCTGTATGCACTGGCTGAATTATCTGATGGAAACGGACCCCCATCTGCACCTCCAGCACGCCAGGAATGGAGGTGAAAAAGAGTTAATGTGTGGAGAGGGTCAACATCGGTACAGTGTGGATGGCTACGATCCAGCGACAGGCACCATCTACGAAATCCTGGGATGGTTCTGGCATGGGTGCCAGACATGTTACAAGACCCAACCTCATCCCGTCCTTGGCACGTCGTTGGGAGCACGTTATACCGACACCCGCTACCGCCTGAGTCTCTTGAGCCAACACCCTGAGGTGAAACGAATTGTCACCCTGTTGGAGCACTAGTTTACAAAAATGCGACAGGAGGACTCCGCTCTGCGTGCTTTCTTGCAGGGACCCCACTGTATCCACGTCACTGGACCACTCAACCCTCGCGACGCCTTCTATGGAGGACGCACCAATGCCACGCGATTATTCTACGAAGCCCTAGAAGGTGAAACCACCAAGTACATCGATATTTGTTCCCTTTATCCTTACATTTGTAAGACCGGAGCGTATCCCACGGGACACCCGACCCTTCTCCATCAACCACCTGTGGACCAATGTCGTGTTCTACCCCTGAAACGACTCTACCATCCGCTACTGCCCTACAGATCGGGTGGCAAAATGCTCTATCCTTTGTGAAGTATGTGTGCCGATACCCGGCCAGACTCCCCCTGCAAGCACGCGGACGAAGAGAGGTCATGAGTGGGTACGTACGCCACCGTGGAACTCCAGGAAGCCGTGAAGAAGTATGACTACCAGGTGCTTTAGATCTACGACGTTTGGCATTTTGACACCTTTGCACAGCATGACCCCGACACCCAGCAAGAAGGACTCTTTGACACTTATATCTATCGTCATTTCAAGGAGAAGCTCGAAGACAGCAGATACCCCGAGGGATGTACGGATCACAACGCTTACATCCAGGAGATCTATGACAAAGAAGGCATTGGGTTGGACAAGGGCCGCATCGAAAAAAACCCAGGACGTCGCATGATTGCCAAGATGCAAATGAATTCGCTCTGGGGCAAGTTTGGACAACGGTTAGACTACAGTCAGAATATCTATATGAACGATCCTGTACAGTACTTTGCCTTGTGGAGGGATGAACGCAATACCATCGAGGATGTCACTGTTGTCAACGAACATGTGGTTGAAGTGACCTATACCCACAAGGAAGAATTCCAAACCCCTCATTCTCATTTCAATGTTGCCATCGCTGCCTGGGTCACCGCCCAAGCACGTCTCAAGCTGTACGAGACCCTTGCCCTGGTGGGTCGAAGGGTCTTGTACTTTGACACGGACAGCGTCATTTACATTCATCGACCCCATGACACGAATCCAGAGCTGGGTCATTCGTTGGGTGAGTTTACAGATGAACTGGACGGAAACACCATCAAGACATTTGTGTCAGGAGGTCCCAAAAAGTATGGCTATGAGTTAATGAACCCCAGACCCGATGGAACGCGCACGACCTGCAAAGTGCGAGGGTTCACTTTGAATTACAGAAACCAACAACATCTCAACTTTGACACCATGAAAGGACTGATACTGGGACAACGACCTGGGAACGAGGGGGAGAAAATCAGCTTGGATTACCCTCATCAAATCAGTCGAAAAGGACCTCGGCATGAAAACGCTCTTGTGACCCGACCCACCCGAAAAGAGTATCGTACCATGTACAACAAGCGACGTCTCGTCTGCGACGAAACCACAGGGCTGCCTGTAGACACGCTCCCCTTTGGCTACAGAGACGACTAGATCATTTTTTAATTTTTTTATTTCATCACAAAGGATCGAAACTGAATCGACATGGACACTTACAGAAAAACCGGATCGAAATCTGACCAATCAGAAGCTTGGGTTGTCGACCCATCAAAGGACCACCTTTGCCTTGGTCGGCCCTCTGATGGGTCGAAACGAGGTTGTGCTTTCTCTCTCACGCTACAAGCCTGACCCTATGGAAAAGAAACACAAGGGTCGGTCCATTTTGGAAAAATTGAGACTCAGACCAGTCACCGGAACGGACCAATCAGAAAGCAGGACATCAGTGCCTTCCGTCGTGCAATGGCTGACATCCTGGAGGTGCGGTTAGTTCTACATTGGGAGATGATGAGAACAAGTGCCTTGTACAAAGCTTCACATGACTGCATGTATGAGAAGTAAAAGAGTGTTGTGGACACATTTCTGCCTCCAGGGTATGGCATCTGCATCCCCAGGATGGAACTCTACGTGGAAAAGTCAACCCCAACACCTGAAGCTGCAGCACTCCATACTCAAAGCAGCCCAAAAAGCAGCACCACCACACGTCGCAGCAGTTACGGCAGTGGTAGTAGAGGGAACGTTAAAAGAAACAGACGTACTCCTCTCAGCACTCACTGCAGCGTCAGCAGTGGCAGAAGCAGCACCCATACTAACAACAAAACCCTCAGAAGCAGTGAAAGCAGCACAACAACTCGACTCAGCACTATGGACAGTGATACTAGCATCAGCCGCAGCAACACCTGCAGCCATAGAAGCAGTAGCACTCGTTGAAATAGTAACTTCACATGCACCATTGCTGCAACAGTACTCATCGCAGACAACACCAACAAACACACCCGTAGCAGCAGCAGAAGCAGCCACCACACAGGCAGAAGAAGATGCAGCTGCAGACGCAGCAACAACACCCTCACTAAAAGTATTCATCAATGCACTACAGATGGTGCAATGCGCGGCAGGTGTAAGGGCATCGAAGGGGACACCCCGAGAAGCAGCAGCAACAGAAAAATTCGCCTCAGCACTATCCTGGGCGGCAGCAACAGACACAGCCGCCACACCCACAGCAGAAGAAGCAGCAACAGCTGCACTCGTCGCCGTAGTAACAGGAGTAAATTCAGCGCAGTCATCACCACCACCACCTTCACCATCACCGATGGACACCTCAGATGCTGCAGCACCCACACCAAAACCAGTGGCAGTCACCACAGCACCCTCATCAACAGCACCAACACCAAAACCAGTGGCAGCAGCAGTGGCACCAGCAGTGGCAGCCACCACCCCCACAGTAATAGAAGCACCAGTAGCAACACCCTCACTAACAGAACTCTTCGACGCGCTCCACGCAGCAGCAACAACACCCTCACCAGCAGCAGCAGCAGCAGCACCAGAACTCATCTCAGCACTATATAGAGCGGCAGTAGCAGCCGCAGCAGCAACACCTTCACCAACAGAAGCAGCAGCCACAGCAGCACTCATTGCAACATTGAGCAGGCTACCTGTGTGATGACGATGACGAAGGTTGTCATCCACTTTTTCACATTATTCGCATTGTTTCACATTGTTTCGCATTGTTTGCCCTGTATCTAAGTTGAAGTGTGTTAGGTGTCATCATTAAACAGGGATAAATGGAACTGACTCTTTGTGTCTTGATTGATCTCAACACCAACAGGATGCTGAACCGAGGGTAGAGGCTGAGTTGAGATGTCGTCTACGTTGTCTGTCTGTCTGTCATGTCAGTGCACGTGCTCGTTGTAAAAGTTGAGAATAAAAAAATAGATAAAAGAAAAAGGTCATGCTTGAAAGATCAGATGCCTGGTGTCCACATGGTGTTCAGACTAATCGACACCCACCCTGCTTGCTTTGCCAACACAAAAAACAACAATCCAAAAGAACCCACACCCTCCCCTTCGTCCTCTTGGAGGCACACGCCTACGCGTGACACCACAATTGTACGTCTCAAAATAATAAAATAAAATAGATATGTTGGTATGTATGGTGGTGTACACGAGTGAAAGACCACGTGTGCCTGGAGACACGAGTCAAACACCACGTCTCTCTCTCTCTCTCTCTCTCTCTCTCTCTCTCTCTCTCTCTCTCTCTCCTTAAAAATACTAAATATGATAAATAATCCTTTGGATCAACGTGTGTTTGAAGACACGCATGACACCACGTTTGCATGGCAACATGAAGTACATCACGTGTGCATGGAAACACACGAAGTACATGACGTTTGCATGGAGACACGAGTGACAGTACGCAGGTCAACCTACACGAGTGCCGACTCCTCAGCGTGGATGAACGAATGACAACGTCATCATCCTATGGATCAACGTGCGTTTGTCGTCACGCATAGCACCATGTTTGCATGGAGACACGAAATACATCACGTAAGCATATACCTACATCACGTTCATGTCTGTGCGTGTCGATTCACCATTAGAATTCAGCCGACACCTTTAGAATTCCACACCATGATCGTAGCGCTAAGGTGATCGCCACTCACCGACTTTAACTTAGACGAACAACTGTCATAGTGGGCTACAATACACGATCGCCTTGTGGAACGAGACCTTGCACCTCAAAGTTTACAAACATATCACCATACCCGATGACATGATTTGTGACATGTTGTTGCAAAATCCTTCGCCGATATGACGTCAACCTAGCAACAAAGTGGCAGAGTCGTCGACTGTGTATAATAACTTTGATAAGCTCGTCTCAGTGAGCTATCAGCTCCACATGCCATCGCCACACACCCACCAAAACAAAACAAAACAAAGAACCCGACTCCCTTCCCGCCTTCCTCCTTCCCCCTCCTCCTCCTCCCGCTCCCTCCTTCTTCTCCTCCTCCTCCCTCCCTCCTCCCTCCTCCTCCTACTCCTCCCTTCCCCTCCGCCGCCTTCGCCGCCACCACCACTTCTATTTTTAGAACAAGAAAAAAGAGATTTTAGTCGCGCTACTTTCAATGTCGATCCTGTTCGCCTTTTACGAGCGCTTCTCCGGGTTTTCCCCTCCTCCCCGGTAACGGATGTGACGCCCTCTTGGAGGTGCGCATGTCACCGGAAACGGATGTGCCTACATCTTGGATGCGCACGCAGGACCCATCATGCTCTGCGCGCATGCGCAGTCACGTGACCAAACCAAAACCGGAAGTGACGTCATCAGACCAACCGACTAATCAGACTGACTGACTGATTTTACACATTGACTTCAAACTAATAAGGATGGTGGTTTTCGGCCGTACTCACTCATAGCCAGTTGACAGGCCAGGCGAGTCAAGTTTTGCAACATGTTCTTATATGCGGATAGATATGCAAATATCAAAGGTCAAGTAGGGACTACTTTCACTGCTTATCAACAAACATGGCGTCGCCCTTGTCATTCGGCGATCCAGTCAGAATTTACCATCGGGAATCTGGAGAAACTACTGGAATTATTGCTATCATTATGAAAAGTATAGTCTAATATACTGAAAATCAGTGTCCGACTGTAACGAAGCTAAGGCATTTTACATGTTTGGGCAACTTTGGAGATATAAATTGCGAAACAATTTAGCGAGGGCACTAGCCAAGCGGGATCACTTTCCATAGCTGTGCTAGTAGACATCTGCCGCTTGGAACATTTTCCACAAATTAAAACATTTGGATTTGGTCGAAATATGTTCGAATTGTTACCTTGTTTCGTTTTGTTGCTGTGTGTACATCTGACTGCACATCTTAACGTTACGACAAGACAGGCCGTCTTACTGTGGCCGTGACGTTTCAGAGGCCAGGATTAGAGTAGCTTCCCTTTGATAAAGTATAGTTACTCTATCAGACAGGCCGATGGATTACCGCGAAAGGGAAGAAAAAACAATTTGTGCAGGCAATTGTTGTTTTGCATATATGTAGTTACGTCACTGTATAAGAAATAGGTATCAGTTGGAACTGTATTGGCTCCTGTCACTGTCCGACTGACATATCACGCACACTCCGACGTAATATATAATAATTCGCACATTCCATGAAAAATTGTAATGTTTAGGTAGTGTTTGTGAGAGATGGCAAGAGATTTTCGAGCACAGAATTGAAGAATGACATTTATATGATAAAGAGGTTATCACGCTTTTGTGTTTGGGGATGGTAAATATCAAAGGCTCGCTAAATACAATATTTATTCCTTATACAGGACTCGCGTGATAACCTCTATATATTGTCCAAGGACACCCACATCATAATTGGGATCGGATGGCCAGGTTCGCTGACTTGGTTGATGCATGTCATCGTATCCCAATTGCGTGGGACCCGTGAAAATCCGGGGTAGAATAGGTCTTCAGCAACCAGAGTTTATCGTAAAAGCGACTATGCTTGTCGTAAGAGGCGACTAACGGGATTGGGTGACCAGGTTCGCTGACTTGGTTGATGCATGTTATAGTATTCCAATTGCGTGGGACCCGTGAAAATCCGGAGTAGAATAGGTCTTCAGCAACCAGAGTTTATCGTAAAAGGCGGCTATGCTTGTTGTAAGAGGCGACTAACGGGATTGGGTGACCAGGTTCGCTGACTTGGTTGATGCATGTCATCGTATCCAAACTGCGTGGATCGATGCTCATCGTGTCAATCACTGGATTGTCTGGTCCAAACTCGATTACTTACAGACCACCGTCATATAGCTGGAGTATTGCTGAGTGATGTGTTAAACAAACAAACAAACAAACACTAGATTCTCAGTGATTTAGTTGCGTTGCTTCTTCAAAAGTATAAACGAATATAATCTTCAAGCTTCATAGAAACCTATGATTATGGGTTCGAATCCCGGTTCGCCCCGATTATGTTTCTAGGGTTTCAGCACCATACCCGTGCTCGTGGGTTTCACCGAAGTGGTAAACGCCTGAGACCTGCATCACTTCGGGCTTTCCTCCCACATTAAGCTGACACGCCGTGATATGCCTGGACTACTTTTAAAAGCGGCGTTAGGCCCAACTCACTCACTGTACTTGGTGGGGTCCAGCTATGAACTTTCAAAGTTTAGGTTATTGGTTGTTTAAGTAAGGATAAGAATGTATGGATGAACAACTTCTTTATTACTTCATAAGAGCGACGTTTTGGTGTATGTTCTAACACCATTATCAAGCAAGTGATGTTCAGAGAATGGTTGAGTATATTATATACAGGTAGGAGGCAGTGTTATACAGTAGAGTAGATATCAGATGTAGTTATACCGGAGTGGAGAAGCCTGGTATGTACACACAATCATCGTTGAAGTCAGTGGCATAAACAAAGAATGAAGTCAGATATATACTGTCGTCCAAAAGAAACTTTACCAGAGTTTGAAATCACTCTTGCTCAAAAACAACAAAACATACATGCACGAAGTAAAGTGTATTGAGAAGATCAATATATCAACATTATCAACACTGAAAATGACAATCATACCGCGACCGACAATGACGTCAGAGCCCCCCAAAGTTAGGTGTGGTACAAAACTCGAGCTTTCAGAATCATAGACAATAGGCAGAGTACATAAACAATCGCTCACGTTCAATAACAAGTCATTAGTAGCCACGGCAGGGCGTTGACGTTGTTGGCTGCGAGGAAGTTGTCTTCTATCAGCCCTAAACATACAGAATCGACTTTCGTCAGTGAAGACAACCCTCTGCCAGTCACGTCGTTGCCAACGTCGTACAGTCCGGGCCCATCTCAATTGCAGACGACGATGTTGCGCTGTCAATAGCTGTCCTCTGTATGGTCTAAAAGCCCTGATTCCATGAGCCCTGAGTCTCCTGGCCGCTGTCTGTCGACTAACCATGTGACCTAAGGCATTTGTCGCCGATGACGTCACTGTCTGGAAGCGATTTCGGAGGTGCAAGGTACGCAAGTACCGGTCATCATGGGGCGTGGTCACCCTGGGTCTGCCTGTTCTTGGCCTGTCGGAGGTCCGCCCTGTCTGTCTGTAACGTTGCATCAAGATGGTAACGGCAACACGGGAGCAACCGAAGGTTCGTGCAATATGGGCGTGGGTGGCTCCCATCTGTACCATACCCAAGGCTCGTTCACGTTGTTCGTCTGTGAGTCGTGGCATTTCTTTTGTGTTTTTTTTATCACTGTGGATGTCTGACTTGCCGTTGCAATCGTTTTTTACCCTTACCCGCAAGTGCATTTGCAGTTGTCCGTGGTGCACGTGTTTTTCACTTTTTCGCGTGTTATCTCGCAAACATGTAACAGACGATTAACGTTTTCTGCATACACTATTGTTGTATTTGGGCGATGTGTTTTAGATAGACTTCATCGAAAAAGAATTATACTTTGTCTGAAATTTATATTATCAGTTGGTAAAGTTTCTTTTGGACGTCAGTTTATAAACAACGGGATTATGGCTGATTGGGGTCTTTGATCAGTTGATGGTACGCCGGGGGTACATAATAGCCTTGGTCACGGTTGATTGACGGTTTGAGTCTTTTCATGTTGATGGCTTCCTGTAGTTTTCTGATTTTGAAGTCTTTGCGGTTGGTGGTGAGGGGTTTGA